CACGCCCCACGAGGTAGCGCAGGAAGCGCGCAATGTAGCGGGCCGTGATAGGCAGATTCTCCACGGAATTCGAGTACCAGGGCACCGCTGTCATCGCGCTCCAGTCGATGAGAATTACATTATGGTTGCCCCGCCGCAGGAAGGCTGCAAGAGAGCAGCATATGGAAATGCAAATGAACTGCAGAACAACCGCGCGACCCCCCCTTTTTTCGCTTACCATCCTTCAACTCCTGGCTGCTCTGTCGCTCTCCGGTGGCCGACTCCGAGAATCCGTGCAGGTAGACAGCCAGCGGGTAATTGAAATTGAAATTGCTCTGCGCCAGCCGGCCATCGTCGTTCAGGTGGAGCAGCTGTGCCGTGTTGCGGTTCCGCCTGAAATGGCATCAGCCTCTAGACTCTCCTCTCAACATGCATGAACGGCCGAGGCTTACCTCGTGTACAGCATAAACTTGATGTCCTCCCGCTCTCTGATCCCGCAGCAGTTGGCGCAGGATCCCCGTGGGGCAGCGCTGTAGAAAATGGGCGAACCCGCTGAAGGACAAAATGTTAAATATCGTAGTCGTAATCGTAGTCGTAGATTGGGTAAATTTGAGCGGAAATGAAATGTTTGTAAAACAGCAGAGGCGAGCAAATTAATTTAGAGCCTCAAATACGCAGCTAATTGATTCATTAGCTTCATTTACTGGCCCGAAACTGGCCAACGCCAGCCAGGTAGCCGTAAAAACAACGAGCAGAAATAACAAAACTACGAAGAAAACGAAACTGGCCCAAGCAAAATCCACTTGGCCCTGAACTTGAATGAAACAGCGTGGAGTGGGGTGGTGCCGAGTCGATTGGTGTGCTGCAGAGTGGCGTGGAGTGGCATGGTAAAGTTGTATCCATAAAAGCACAAAGTACAATCGCAGCCAGCACGTGACGCATAAGCCGCGTGTTACGCAGTCGACAAAATCAACAAGAGCAAAAGAGAAAGAGAAAAAGAAGCAAAAACCAGTTTGAATTTCCATATCGAACGAGCCGCAAGGTGTTTCGTTGGTGGGTGGTGCCACTGCCACTGGGTCAACACGCGTTGTCTATGCCATGTCAATGACGCTGCTTCTGCTGCTGCTTCTTTGTTTTCGCACGGTTTGTTTTGCTACTCATATTTGGGGGGCTGCGAGAGGTTCGAATCGAATTGAAACGGATTCCACATTTGATTAGATGCCAAGCGACAATGCTTGCTGCTGGGGATGGGATGACCTTAGCCAATGCCACATTCATTTGCAATTCTGGCCACTTATCACCTTCCGTTTTTGCTCGACAGCGACAACTAACCGTATTGTGAAGTATATCAGTTGTTGGCTAAACAACTTGCATTTCAATTCGAAATTCGAAACGTAGCGCAAATTACAGTTTCCAGTTGCCCTCCTCTCCAGCTACTTTCGAAGACGTTTTCGATCTCGTTCTCTCTTCTATCTCTATCTCTGTTCTTCCCACTGCCACTGTCATCGCCTACCTGCTCTCTGAGAATGCGAGTCAAGGAGCGCGAGAGCAAGCCGTTGCGTTTCTCTCTAATCATTTATGAAAATCTTCTTAAATCGTATGCTGTTTAGACATAATCCAAATTTTATGTATGTAGTTTAAATATGTCTTATTTGTGTAGATTAGCTGTCTGCCCAGTTTCGCTACAGAGCGGAAGAGCTTTTTGTCGCATTTTATTTATGCGGAATGCTCGTTATTGTTTTGCCCATTTTTGTTTGTTTTTTTTTTTTTTTCTGTTTTGTTTTGTTCCTTTATATTGTTTCCATGTCGTTTGCGACGTCATGCCGTGCATTTAATTCGTATTTCTTTTTTAATTATCACGCTGCCGACTTTAATTTAAATATACGTTTGGCCAGCAGTTAATTAGCAGCGTTATGCGATTGTGATTGTGATTTTTGTGGCTGTTAATAGTACTCTGGTATTAAGAACTTTATTGAGATTTTTAACAGGCTTTATGGTTCTAGATATAATTCCTCAAATTGTGGCATTGAAAAGCTGTGAAGTGTTCTGCCACTGCTAGTTCAGGAAAAAAAAAAAGGGAATCCAATTCGGCTCAAGGTATAAAAAGCGCACGCACACACAAGTGTTACTCTCTCTCTCGCTCTCTGTCTCTCGTTCTGCTAAAAAGAGTTCCAGAACTTAAGGCTATCTAACTACAGTTAGTAAGTACTCCCTGCCCTGCTTTGGCCTTCTTTCATGGCTGAATGGGGGCTCCGCCCTAACCTGCCCCAATGCAAGTCAAACATTGGCCAGAGCCAACAATTGAATCGTTTGAGAGTGCGCGTATCAACAAAGACATCAACTTGTTTGAACATGTCCACTGGCCCGCCTCCGCTCCCCTGATTTACAAGCCGTTCCACCTTGAACTTATGCACAGAGATGTTTTGTTTGCCCCCCTCCCCCCATATGTGGCAGATGTAACACACGATTTCCCAGTTTGACATTGGGACAGGCAGCAGAATCAATGCTAATAGTAGAAGCCACAAGCAGCGGGCTGGGCTCCTATTTCCATATTTGAGTGGTCTGGGCAGGGGGTGGCAGGGGAAGGCGTTAACTTACCGAGCAGAAATGTGAACACATTGCACAATGTCGAGGTGGCTGGCAGAACCATGGCCAAAAATATATAATAACTACTGCAAATATATGTCTACCGTTCAACGAACCCTTTTCCTTCACTTTTGATTTCAATTTTTAATTCACTCTTTGGGGCGTTAGAATAAACATTAAGTGTGATTTCCGCATTTGAGTTTTTGGCAGTTTTTGGCAGTTTTGGTTTTGGTTTAATGGGTTACGATCGCGATAAAGACGCGCCAAAACACTCTCGAGATCGCAATCGATAACGAAAGCAATAACAACGACGACGACGACGACGACGCTCTGTTCTGGCCAAGCAACGAAGACGAACTGAGCACGACGAACGGCCCGATACGGGCAGGTAGACTCGCCGCCTGATCGATCCCCCTAGAAAAGCTGCGCTGCCGCTGCTCAGACCTCTGTCGCGGCTCCTCGGAGAAAAATAATTCGCACGGCGGCCCTAAGCAAAAGACTGAGGCAACAAACTGAGCTCTGGGCCTAAATGTTCCGTATTTAAATGAGTTAATCAGGCATGCAGGCCGTGCCAGCAGTGTGTGAGATCGTTAAAAGTATAAAGTATAATTTCCTGATTGTCGCGCGCCCAGCAGCTCACACCCACATCCCTGAGGGGCATAGCCAATGAGCCCGCCAAAAGATCATCTGGGGTGGTCGGTCGGGCTCGACAATCGCAGGCATCAGCTGGCAAAGTTCAGGCAGTCCAACAACAGCCCGCTCACCTTGACCAGATGATGTCGACTTTCCGTTTCAATACACTTATCGCCTTTCGGAATCCGACATCAGCCTTAAGCGGTTCTGGCCCATCCTCAGTGGATCGGAGCCACGGAGCGTCTTGTGTATCGTTTCTTTTGTGCGGGTCAATTAGCGTGGCGCTGAGATCTGCATTAATCATACGAAAGATGTAGCAGGGTATCCATTATTCTCATAGAGTCTCCTCCGCTGATTGCGGGCGTGCAATTTCGCGGCTCTTTCGTCATTGTCTTCTCGATTTCCGATACTTATTGATGTTGTGTGTGTGTGTGCCCTGAACCGTGGATTTAGATGGGAAGAAAAGCTTAAAAACTTGCGAAAAGATTCTTGGGACATTTGCGGTTGATTGGCAATCGAACACTTGATTGATTTGCCATTTGCCTTTCATAATCAACGGCGAGCTAACCAGCAATTAAATCTCTTACATGTGCAATTCCACAAAGAGCGAGCCAATTAGTTGCTGGCAAAGACCTTCGCACGATACGCGCAGCGGCGCTATGACATTGGGGAATCATCAAGTGCAAGGGCTTCGCTACCCACTCCAGCCAAGGGGAACCACCGCCACATGCCACACGCCTCACGCCACAAGCGATGTGGTTCTAGCTAGCTATGTTCTAACCCTCAAGCGCGAGCCCCATTAGTCACACTCGAAATCGGAGAATCGAAACTGCGAAGGAGAACTCGTTGAACCATTTTGGATATGCTTTTATGCATACTGACTTTACAACTTCCTCGTGACTCGTGCCTTGGAAAGTTTACGGCACACAATTCTGAATTATATTTTCATTTTTTTTACCGTAAGTCCAGGCACAAAGGCAGCCCCAAAAATAGCCAAAATACTATTAATATCTCGATACTTAAGATGTTATAAAGTAGTCCATAAAGTCCATTCAATCAGCCGCCTTAAAAAAGCTGCTGAATCACAAAATTAATGACTGCGGGCTGCGGGCATCAACAATGGGCAATTCTTGAGAGATTAAATATTATCAATATAATATACATACATATGTACGGCCTGAGGTCGAACACCCAGACTGACCTCAGAGGACGTCTACGGCGGAGGCAAAGCGAGATCAAGTTCGAAATCGATTTGCATAAAGATTCAGACCCCCGGTTGGCCAATGCAAACAAAGATTGCAATCGATGGGCATTACGAAAAATTTCATTTTTATGGGTCGGTGGTTGGACATTTCTAAGCGGCGCGGACCTGATCTTTATGGACATGTCAAACGGCTTCCGGATGGCCACCGGCCTTCAATAGTAAGTTGGCGCTTCCATCGTTTACAGCTAAGCAGCTGTAAAATGAGTTGTCGTCACACCGATAGCCAAGAGACCAATAAATGTCGGCTGTTTGGTCAATTAATTATACCCCTTAAAGGGAGAGCTGAATGGAGTATATTAGTGGCAAATTTGTCTGAGTTTGAGGTGACAATTCCTGTCATAATTTTGCACGTCTCTTGAGAGCCCTCTCTGGGAATGCCTCACCGTTTATCTTGATCTTGTGATAACTTGTGAGTTATGATTTAATGCGTGTTGGCATACTTTCAAGCTCCCAAAAATAAATCCAAACCAATGAAAATTCTTAGCATACTTTTAGGAAAATAAATGAAATAAAATGAATTTTCCTCTCATTTTTGCAGGACAAATTGCTGAGCAAGTTGGAAGAGGAAAGCGAACCGGATCCACCCACCTCGCAGGAGGATGAGTGCGTGATTTGTATCAACGCCAGGGCCACCATGCAGACCTCGCCCTGCGGCCATCGTGTCGTCTGCCGCCGCTGTTTCGTGAAGACCATCCAGAGTGCGGTGGCCCAGCGACTGTTGCCGCTGCGCTGCGTGATCTGTAGGGCACGGGTGAACCGGCTGACCTCCTCGTCGGGCACCTGGCGCATCCAGGAGTCGGCCAGCAGCTACTCGATGGGGGCCAAGAGCTGGGCCTCGGCTGGCGTGGCAGCTGGCGGGGTGGTGGCCTCCGCCAGCTCATATTCGATGAACGATGCACACAGTGGACACCACACGTTCCACCACCAGCCCACGCTGCACAAGGCGGCGACGGTGGGGCGACACCATCAGGCGGTGCGTGGCACTCGCGGCCGTCTGGTGTCCCAGTCGGACAGCCTCTACTCGATGAGCTCGACAGGATCGGCGGGATCCTCTCTCTCCGGATACTCGCACTACTCCAAGACGTCTTCCATATCGAGCAGCGGCCCCTGCTCCCCAGCCTCGGCGGCGACCTCCAGTTCCAATCACCTGGCCCCCCCATCGCCCGGCACCCACCACCAACATCATCATCATCATCACCACCACCACAGAGATGCCCATCACGCGTCCACATCCCCCACACCGTCTGGCTCCTCGGGCAGTTCCCTCTCGCCGCGCGACACTGGCAGTCACTCGCATCATGGTGGCTGCCCCAGCGGCTGCTCGGGAGCGGTGCCCCGCAAGCCACTCCATACGCTGAGCAACTGCACCACATCCACATCCACATCCGCATCTTCTTCGAGTGGCAGTGGCAGCGGCAGCAGTGGGGGTAGCGGTGGCAGCGGAACCATGACACCCATGCACACCTATCCGGGTCGGAGGCATATAAAGAATCGTCTGCTGGACATCCAGAACCGCCTGCCCCCCATCAAGGAGTTCCGCAGTCCGGCCAAGGTGCCACACCCCTCGCCGGTACACGTCAGCAATCCCAGGTTTCGGTGAGTCCTGATCCTCCGCTCGGTGGCGCCTCGCCTCTCACCACACACCACTTGCTTCCAGGTATGCCTCCTACACAAAGTCCAGTACTCACGAGCTGGCCCCACTGCTGCGGGAGGGGGCGTCACCGCCTCCTCCACGTCGGCCCAGCCCCATGAACATTCAGCTGAGTTGTACCACTCTGGCCCCGCCACCGCTCAAGGCGGGTGGCGCCAAGATATGCCCCGTGACTGCAAAGAACGCGCTGCCCAAGAGCGCCTATGTGATGCCCAAGGACAAGAAGATTGCTCAGACCCCGCCAGCAGGTGGAAAGGGTGCTGCTGCTGGCCCACCAAAGGCAGCGACTCTGGGAGCAGGCAGCACATCCAAGGCTGGGACATCTTCAGTGGATATCTCGGTTTCCGGCTCCGGCTCTGGCTCGGGAACATCCGCATCCAGTAATCCCAAGCCAGCTTCTTCCAGCCCCTCCCGTCGCAGCTTTCCGCTCTTTTCCGCCGGCAGCAACCAGAGTAAGTTTTTAATGAGCCAATCCACGGAGATCCGTCGGAGATTAATCCCTTTCCAATTGGTTGCAGAAGAAAGGGCTGACAATAAAAAGAACGAGTCCGTGGAGCGCAAGAAGAAGGAGGAGAAGCTCAAGCTGAAGGCAGAGAAGGAGGCCAGGAAGGTGAGTGTGTCCCCAACCCAACCCAACGCATTCCATAACCATCCTTTGGCACTCTCCTCTCCTCTGCATTGTTCCGGAGATTCATTGTTATCCCCATTCGACCCCTGACCCCGCTTTGGCAGTTTTTCCATTGCATTGTTTGTAATTGGCCTCGTTCCTCTTTCTGTTCTTGCTTTTGCTTCGGCAAAGTTTTTCATTAATCGCGTGGGTGGAAGTGCATAAAATGGGGGATTGGAAGGGGAGAGGATTGCCTTTTGTGCATAAGTTTCAAGGTAGTGTGGAGAGGGGGGGTTGCCACTCATAATTCCGATTTTTACTTTATGCTTTCCAGTGTTTATTCAAACAAAGTTACACCCAACCCAACAGAATTTCTCATTAGAATTATTCTATTTGCAGGAGGAGAAGCGACTGGCCAAGGAGGAGGAGCGTCTGGCCAAGCTGCACGCCAAGGAGGAGAAGAAGCGCGGCAAGAAGGAGGCCAAGGAGCTGCTATTGGCCAACGACATCAAGAAGTGAATCACATTCCGATTTTTGGCAAAAGCAAAAGCATATTTCCAGTTGCAATTCTAGATTTAAGGAGCCCATAACCGATTGAATGATTTATATATATAAAGAGTATATCAAATCAGATCGGACATACACACACACACACACACATTCCGCTATCCATAGATATCGAGCTTGATTGTATTTTAAGAATAATAGCCGAGGATCCTCGTTTCAAATTCAAAACAGCATTTGGCAGAATTTGGCAGCATTTGTTCAGTAAAGAGAGCCAAGAAATATATACCTCCTTTGATGAGTTCCAATGATGCACAAGATCTTTGAAAATAACTCTAGAAAAGAGATATTCGCCTATCGATCAATTAAAGTCGAAGATACTCCGTATATATTTCAAGAACTATAATTGAAAGAATAAGAATATGGCTACTGAATCTTTGCAAAAACCTTCCTTAAGAATATGTTCCTTGCCCTTGATTTATGTTCAGTTCTTTGCCAATATTTTTTAAGGGGCCTCACTGTGAACTTTCATGGCTCTTCACAGTCTAGAGCTATGGTAAGCGAGTAAGATGTGGACAACTAAGTCATAGCTGCCTTTCGTTAAACATTGCCTCACTCAGCCCATTTATCGCATCATCAACTTAAAGGTTGTTGAACAAATATCGACTAGAACAGATTCTGATGGGTTGCAAGATACCCAAACGAATAGAAGGAAGAGAAAACCTTAAACTTTCCAGTTTCCAAATAATAGTTTTTACTACTACTACTGAAGAACCCCCAATACCCCCAACAAATTCAAACTATAGAACTATAAACAATGACCATGTTGGGCAAAACAAAACAAAAAACTTACGTATGTTAGAGCCAAGCTATAGCAAATGTGAGAACCAGGAATCCGGATCATGTAATAATAATATAACCTGTTGACTAACAAATTCTAAATGTGAAGAAGCATATTACGTGCAGTAGTTTTCATATTACCTCTGCTCGTATGTATTGTATTGTATACCTACATATATCTACTATACTCTACTATATCTCCATACCAATATTGGGAACTGTTCAAGCGGCAAAGATAAGCAATGTTTCGATGTATGTACTATATGTATTAACAGATTGTTTCAAAAACAGTAAAACGATTCAAAACAATAAAGAATCAATTATGTTGAGGACTGGTTTTTGATTTTCACTTGATTTTGAGTCTGATTCTGGCTCTGGCTCTGGGCGTGCCTCTGCTTGACCTTCAAGCAGCGGTTGAATACCTTGGCGTAAATGTAGGGCAGCTCGCCGCGACACCCGAGATTTCCCAGCTTGTGCAGTGCACCAAAATCGAGGCAATCGATGTGATCGTCCCCATTGCAGTCCTGTCCGTGCCTGTACATATAGTTCTGGATGGTATTCGCCGCACAGTGCGGCTGATTGACACAATTGATGAAGGCTACAAGAGAATTTAGTGCTCAGCTTGAGAGGAAAGCTGCAGAACTTACCATTATCGGATAGGGGCGTCTCATTGGGCAGCGTCAGCTCTCCCGCCTCTATCCAATAGCCCTCGGTTATACGAAAGATGCCGCATGCCCCGTTCACACAGATCTCTGTGGCATTGCAGCCACTCAACGTCTCGCAGAGGCATTCCAGGCAGTCTTCCGTGACGGGTTTGTTTTCCACTGAAAGCGAGACACCAAAAGCGAAAAACAGGCATGGAAATTGGCGGATGTAAGTCTGAATATAGTTAGTACGTACTACGTAGTATATATATACTATATATTCTAATGAACTGATCCGGTTTTAGTTTACAGCGAACCCCCAATGGATTACCATAATTATAGTACGCCACAAATGATTGTTTCTACGCGCGGTATTCCAGGGTATATACGACAAATCGTTTCCTTGTCTGTCTGGATACGAATGGATGCTTACCCGCATGGCCGTACACTGAGTGCAGCAGCAGCAGCCACAAACTGGTGAGTAATTTGAGGCTGGTAAACATTTGTAGCTCCGATTGGATTTTTAGCCGTGAACCTGACCTGACGTCGCCGTGATTACCGCACAACTGATCTACGCTGATCAACACAGATCTGCTGTTTATTAAACGAGATGCCATTTGCAATGCAATTTTCTCACACAAATTTTAAGCCGACTCTTCCTCATAAATTAGTTATTAAATACTAGAAGTTAACAGCTAGACAGCTGAAACTAGTTATCAGTGGTTGCCTTTCCCCCGTGGCGGACTAGGTGGTTGTCTGTCGCTGCTGTTCCCGCTGCGCCCGTCTCAGGCACCGCTTGAAGATGTTCTCATAATTGTAGGGCATATCCGCTTTGCAGTTGAATGGACCCATATAGTGGATGGCACCGTAATCGTAGCAATCCTCCTGCTGATCATCATTACAATCCTGTCCGTACTTCACCATGTAGTGCTGTAGAGTGTCCGCCCCACAGTGCGGATCATTGGCGCAGTTGGTAAACGCTGTGGCGGTAAAACATAACAGATGAAATCCTCTGCCTCTCAATGGATCACTTACCGCTGTCCGAAATGGGTGTATCACCCGTCACTGTCAGTCGTCCAGCATCGACCCACTGATCCCAGGTGATCCTGAAGATGCCGCAGGCTCCATTTACGCACACAGCCGTCGCATTGCAGCCGCTCAATGCCTCACACATGCAAAGCAAACATGTCTCCGTAATCGGTTTCGGGCTCTCCGCCTGAACCTGGCCCATACCCATGCCAATGCCCACGTTCAGAGCCAAAAGTATTGTCAGCATATTGTACGATTCGATGCGTTGCACGACTATTCAGCCACTGAACGTGCGCAGCACTGACTATACAATTTTATTGGCCGCCTAGCCGAGAACGATTTCAATAAATACTAGTCAATGGGGCGGGGCGGTTAATTGATGCAATAGGAAACGATTCCCGTCTGGTACATAGAATAGCATTTTCCAATGATATTTATTGGATACATAACAAACTTCCCGTAGGAGAAGCTCACTCGAAACCCTGATCTACATAGTTATCGATGCACTCCTCGAAGACGGTCTGGTAGTTGTAGGGCAACTCCGCCTGACAGCCGTAGGCACCCAGCTTGTGGATCCGCGCATAGTCATGGCAATCCATCTCGCCGTCGTCATTGCAGTCCTGATTGAATTTCTTCATGTAATTCTGCACTATATTCGCGGCGCAGTGTGGATCATTGGCGCAGTTGATAAAGGCGTGCTCGGAGTCGGGCTGCTCCCCATTAATTGTCAGCTTGCCGGCGTCCACCCAGTAGCCCCAAGTGATGCGAAAAATGCCACAGGTGCCCTTCTCTGGGTTGATGCAGATCTTCGTGGCATTGCAGCCGCTGATGGCTTCGCAGATGCAGGTGAGGCACAGCTCTGTAACGGGCTTCTCCAGCACTTGATCTAAATAACAATCGGTAGATCATATAGTACATACAGATACATACACAAGGTAAGGGTGGACTTACCCCGACTCTGCACCAATGAATGCGACACTGCCAATAGCAGGCATAGCATATAGTATTCCACACAGAAACTCATGCTGAGTGTGTTTTAATGCTCTTCTAATCGCTTCAATTCAAACAGTTTCGCACCTAAATCGCAAATGGTGCCAGCAAATCCAACGGGGTTGCATTTGAGCTTTCAAGGTACCGGTTTTTAGGGCCGAATCGAACAGTTGGCAGTTGCAATGGGAATTAGAGGTGGAAAAACATCGATGTTTGGAGACATCGATGTTTTCGATGTTTTAGTGAAAAACATCGATGAAATATCGATGTTTTGCAAGATAAAAAATATCAAAAATACATAGTAAACTGCAAGAACATGATTAAAATTATACATAATAACAGTTTTATTTCGTTTGAGATCAAGAGTTCCTAAATCCATTCACAAAAATATATATATATATATATATATATATATATAAAAGTATATTTACCAGATTATATCTTAAAAAAAGTCTTGATTCTTGTTGAGAAATAATAATTGGTGCACCACTTCCGGCTTAAGGCGACTACGACGATCGGAAATAATTTGCCCATCCTTGCTGAACATCCTCTCTGACTCGTAGGATGGGCATAGCGACATATCTCAGGGCGACATATCTCCTGGCAGGCCCTAACGACATATCTCCGCAAGGAGATTTTGAAACGACATACATATCTCCTCGCGGAGTTTGGCGTCATATCTCCGCCCAGAATTTAGCGACATGTATCCTGCTATAAAAAGTAATTACAGAATATATGTCGCCCGGAGATATATCGTTACCCCGTAGGATGTTGCCTGGACGCACAACTATTTTTGGGCTCTAGCTTTAAGTTACATGCCGTCTGTATTCATCTAAAAATGTAACCATTTGAGCTTGATCTTCTTCTCTCTTTAGGTTTTTCTTTCATAGACGACAAAAACATAAAAACAAAACATCGATGTTTCGCCAAAAAAACACTCGATACTTATCAAAATTTTAAAAACATCGATGAATCGATAGTAGCATAGATGTTTTTCCACCTCTAATGGGAATTCCCAAATAAGTGCAGTAGAATGTAGCAAATAGAAGTCGCGACAGAGACACCTGCCGACGAATTCGTGGGCATGCTTCCGTTTATTACCGCTGACTGGCGCCAGTGTCAACGGTTATTCAAATCTGCTTCGATTACAATAAAATATCTCTCGCTTAAACCACACGTTTTCATTTACCATAATATCGTTTTAATATCAATCTCGATTTCACAATCTAACTCCAATTCAAATGCATTGCCATAAATTATTATTTTATATATTAGTTATCGTTAATTATTTGATGCGTAAGGGCCAGCTCATGGTCCGGAGCGAACGTCCAATTGCTGGAATGAGTTCAGGCAGGTCTGCAGACTGGTTTGGTACTGATAAGCCAGCTCCCCACCGCAGCCATAGCCCCCCAACTTGTGGATGGCACCATAGTCGTAGCAGTCGATGGCCCCATCTTTGTTGCAGTCCTGCCCAAACTTGGTCATGTAGTTCTGGATGGTGTTGGCCGCACAGTAGGGATCGTTCACGCAGTTGGCATAGGCTGCAAAGCAGTTTAAACAAGTTGTCAATGGTAGAACGACGATGTGAAAGTGCGGCGAACGTGCGGCTTACCATCTTCAGACTGGGGGCTCTCGTTACCCAAGGTCAGCTTGCCTCCATCCGACCAGTAGGCCCAGGTGATGCGAAACAGGCCGCAGACGCCGCCGCCGCAGAATCGCGTCTGATTGCATCCGCTGATGGCCTCGCAAATGCAGCCCAGGCACACATCCGTCACCGGCTTATCTGTATTGGGGGGGCAGAAGGCAGACGAATTAGTTTGAGATCGGGTACGCGATTAAGCACCGGAGGGGAGCCACGTAAACAGAGTAAACAAAACAAAAAATAAAACTCGAATTGTGCTACAAGCAAATCACATTTTTACCCCACCCATGTCATCGCTTTATTCAGGGCATTGTGCGATGCTTGAGAATGATTTTGAACCAAGATCGTTCGAATTTCAGCCTCATAAAATTTCAAAAATATATAAACACATTTATAATACATTTTGGATTATTGGAAGAACGTGAAAAAATAAAAATAAACAATTCCGATGGTTGTACGCCCATGAACCTGAGTATCCCCCGTATCTTGGCAGTTTAAGACACTGCCGAACTAGTTTTGCAACTTTCAATGGCAACATTGAGGCATCTCTATGGATCCAGTAGTCTGCCAGCCAGCCCGTAGGCGAAGATGAGTCAATATTTCGGTGTTATCAAGACCAGTACAGAACCTGTTGTTTTTGCAATTTACATTATTTATTTTTCCACGAAAAGCGGAGGAGGTTGTAAGCATGTGCCAAGTTCTCTATGCGAGAACACACACCCCATCAATCATCTTCATTCACCCACGTAATCTCTGGGTTCACTGAACTATGCAAAATATGTATATGTAGTCTTGAAAGTTGTAGAAATTGGGTCAAGATTCAAAATAGCCTCCAGAGAATAAAATTATTATAATCAAAATCACTCGGGATTATATAAAAATTGGGAATTTCCAAGCCCCAGAGATAACACACACACACACACACACTCAAGCAGAAACGTCATTTGACCGGGAACATACAATATTGTCACATCACGAAGGTGGGACTTTTCAGGTTATTCCGATCTAAGTAATTGTTTGCTAAATTGCATTAATGCGAATCCGTTGGCACCCAGTAATTTGGGTAACATTTCATTTACACATTGTACATCCTTTTTCATGGAAAGTCCACAGTGCAAATGGTTTTCTTTCCGATTTAATCAGCTACTTATGCAATTAATTATTTAATCGAATACATATCCTATGAGCTCACCCTGGAATAATTGTACAAAACACGTTGCAGTTATTAAGACATTTTTCAAGTAAATAAATTTCCGTCTAATGTAATGGTGATATCAAAATCGGAAGTAATTTCAATGGCAATGCCGTGTGTTATTGAAACCACCGCAGTCAACGGCCCGGCTCGTTTGCTAATGATGGATGCGCTAAGCTCGCATACGACTCCAAGCTCCGCAGTATTTATGAACATTTGTCAACATCCAGATACTTGTCTTATGCAAATGCGAACAGACTTGTGGGACAATGCATATAGTAGAGCTGAGAAAACCCTCTAAGAACGAAACATGTCTTGGCACAGAACAAAAGATAAAGAAGAATCAAATATTTATACATTTGCTAATTAATGTTAATGAAATGCACGAATCCCGCACCCGAGACGAGCAGGTATCTACAAAACTACACTAAATGGGTAACAAAATCGAACCGAAAACAACGACCAGAATAGAAGCTCATCTTTAAATGTGATACAATTCCGGTTAAAATATATATTTGACTCACCCTGCGCTTGAATAAGAGCCACCAGTCCCAGGCACAATAGAGCGCCAAACGCCAAAGTGCAGCACAATTTGTTGGCAGCCATTATTAGCAGTTGTTCGAAATTGTCCGAAAAAGATTTGCGTAAAATGAATAGCACAATAAAGAGGAACGAACGCTTTCGCGCTCAACAAACAAGTGAGCTTGCAGCGGGCTGTGCTTCACAGTTTTGTAGTCCGAGTCGCCTACATCCGGACAAAAGACTCACGCTGAGAACTTAACAAAGAGAGAGCTTTGCATCAAGAGAGAGACACACACACATACTATTACTAGCTCTTTGACGAATATACACTATCATATCAAAGAAATAATACAGACATTATAAACTTTTAGTTGCTTTGCTTTTGCTTGGATTTATTGAAAAATAGTAAGAATCTCAGTTTAGATCTTGTTGAAGGCAGCAATATCGACGGACTGCACAAAGTCCTCGAACTCCTCAAGCTTCTCCTGCAGCAGATCGATGGACACCTTCTCGTCCTCAATGACGCACATGATCTGCAGCTTGTTGATGCCATAGCCGACGGGCACCAATTTGGATGCGCCCCACAGCAGACCATCCATTACGATGGTGCGGACATTGGCCTCCATCTCCTTCATGTCGGTCTCATCATCCCATGGCTTGACATCAAGCAGCACCGACGACTTGGCAATGAGGGCGGGTTTCTTCGATTTCTTGGCGGCGTAGGCAGCAACACGCTCCTGCTTGATGCGCTCGGCCTCAGCGTCCTCCTCATCGTCGGAGCCGAATAGATCGACATCATCATCGTCGTCAGCAGCTGGCTTGGCCGGAGCAGCCACTGTGGGTTTGCCACCAGCCAATTGGGGCAGGGGAGCGCCAGTCCAGGCAGAACGCTCTCCGGCCTCAAAGGAAGCAATGTGGCGGTACCACCGTGCAACATGGGCGTTGTCTCCAGCTGGAGCCTTGCCCAGGGCATCGAAGACAGACAAATCGGCCTTGCTGGGTGTGTAGCTGTGGCGGAAAACAATTGCATGAGCGTCATGGTACGCAAAATTATTTAGCCGACGTGTGCGGTTTCTACATAACCTCACTGTCTACCGCCGCGTGCCGAGTACTTACCCGCTAATATAGCTGCTGTTGGCCAGGAAGTTGTTCAACTCCTTCAATCCCTGTGGGGTCTTCACATCACCGAAAGCCATTTTAGTTGATTTGTAGCTGAATTCACGTTTAACAGTAAAAATGCCCGTGCGTGCACGTACGTCGGAAATTCGAAAAAGAGTGTGACAGCGGTTTTATCCTCAAAATATACCATCTAACCCTCAAGTATATACACAAATATACCTTCTCATTTTCATAATATATAGCGATGCAGCCCTAAAATATTGGCAGTGGATTGACCGAGTCAAGACTTTTGAATGATCTTTTTAAGATCAATAGAAAGCAATAAACCAAATATTGATTGAATATTTTAGCAGTTTCTGAGCCTCATTGTTTGGGTGCAGCAGCTGTACATATGCATGAACGGTTTCCAATCCGAAAGATTTATAGCTAATATATTGTTGTTAATAACTATATTCCTATGCATTTTGAACAGATTCTCTGTGTTGAATCATTCAAAGTGTTTTGTTGAAATTTGGCAAAATACAAACTATAATTTAACAACTTTCAGCAACTCCTGCGAGACATGTGTAGAATATATAACCTGAGCTTTAACAGAGGCTTTACAATAACTCTTTAAGGTCCAGAATCCGGATTTCCTTTTCACTTAGCAAAAGAATACACAAAAGAACAATTATATCTGTAATGAAAAGCTTTTGAAGGCACTCATGATCGGTCGAGCGTTTAAATATTGATTGTATAAACAAGATCTACTTTTAAACACACAATAATTATAATGACTTAATTTGAAATGCCAAATAGTAGCCAACAATCATTAGTTGGTCATTTACGATAAAAGCTTTATCAGAAGTCTAGCCAAACCATGTTAGTACATGTTGTTCTTCAATATACATAATACATACGAGTATGCGCGGAATGATGAACACCCAGGCAAAACTCATTGTGATGCTATATTTATTCGTAGGGGTAAGTGTCTATACATTTTAAAACCAAACCTTCTTGTTTCTAATGGCATTGAAATAATGTGCAAGATCACCTCAAGGGTGGAGTTTACAAACATCAAATGCAATTGCCTGGATGAGAGATACTGCAGAATTGAAGACTGCTATCTGAAGTCAATCAACCGGAGCTACAAATATATGTCCGTGAAAGTTAACGTATGGAAACCTCCAATTACCAAGCTCTGGGTATGCATACAAATAACATTAAAGTAATAATAGAGTAATTCATAAGCGATCTTCTCTGACGTTACAGGTTAATTTCGCTTTGTACAAACGATCCAGTGGATACAAGCCATTCCTTTACAACATAACGCTCGATGCCTGCAAATTTGTCAAGAATCCGAAATCCAATCCCGTAGCTGCTTACTTTTATGCTTTCATTACCGACTACTCGAATCTGAACCATTCGTGCCCCATTAATGATGTTTGTTAACACGTATCCCCCTATCACATGCATATATGTACATATGTATATTTTCTTTCCTTTCAGAATGTTCTTATTTTGGATAAGATGTCTATAGACTTTGTCAATCATCGAATTACAGCGCTTCTGCCCTTCCCGGAGGGTGACTATTTGTTGGAAAGCCACTGGTCTCCAGACAACATCCACAACAAGATGGTTATTTTCAAGTTTTATGTATCTTTGATTTGAATATCATAGATCATAGATTGTTATGTACATATGTATGTACCTTATTCTATGTAGTAATAAACACCTCTGTTTGTTTCAATATATCCCTATGAGTGTCAGGTATACTCAAACGATATAGGATAGAGATCTTGAGCGATTCCATCCAAACAACAATTATGTCAATTTTAGATTGTCAGTAAAATATCTATGTATACACTCTGTAGTAATTTCCTTTAAGCAATTTTATTTTATTTACTGATATATGTATACACAATTTTCAGCGATGGGACCAGCGATCTTAGTGGACATAATGACCATGATGGGGATCATGATGGGGATCGTAATGATGATCATGATGAGGATCGTAATGAGGATCACGATGAGGATCGTAATGATGAGCATCGTAATGATGACTGCGGGCCTCACGATCACCGTTGACGGCATGGGCGGATCCTTGATCAGCCTCGTCCAGGAGATTTACTCGTTCCTCGCCGTTCAAAACATCTTGGCCATGGATGAAGGCCAGACAGAGGATGCCGATGACTGCCAGAAGGATCAGACGCATCTTGATTGTTGATTTGAGGATGGTTCTTGGAGAATTTCGAGGATTGAGTGCGCTGTGCAGGAAGCAACTGTTGATGACTGAGCCCAGGCCCCGTCCTTTTATTTAGCCAACAGTCCATTGGAACCACGTTTGTTTGTTATTCCCGTTCTTGTTGATTTTTTCTGCATTAATGGTGCTAAATATGCATCCAAACCGTCATAAATGTAAGGGCAAACAGGAGGAGGTATGGTGATAAGGTCTCCTGACAACGGTATAAAGAAAGATTGAAAGATCTTAAAATTAATACATTTGGATTTTTTTAAAAAGTTTAACTTGTGCACAAGTTTATTGAAATTCTAAGAGAATTTATAATTTAGAAAACCTAATCGTCAATAGTACTATCGTAAGTACCATGAAATTACAGTATTCAAATTTTCAAATCTCTTATATATGATCTCCAATAAAGGAAAGTAATGTTTTGGTATATAAAAGCATATATTTTAAAGAAATACGGTATACGAAAGTACATACTATGCGTATGCAACTTGGTTGACAAGCAACAATTTCGTACACGTATGGCCGTTTTTGTTTGAACCTCATTATGTAAACAATCCAATGAAAAAGAGTTCTAAAAACTAACCAATCCTGAACAAAATTTTTTCAGAAATGGAATAAAATTATTTGCTTAGGGCTTAGAGGGCTAACTAGCTAGTCATATTAAGCCGAACATCAAAATCGAGGAATATTAACGCATCCGACAGTATATTTATGGTATATTTTGATGGTGACAAGGTATATTTTGGTATATTATTAAGGGTCTGACGGTATAGTTTATCGAAAAATCCACGGTCACACTGGCGATAAGAAAAGAAAAAACTAGCATTTTCAAAGTGAAAAAACCTATTAAAAAAATTGAAAAAAACACTGCTTAAAACGTGAAAAAGCTATTAAAAACACTTAAACTGAACTTAAACTCAAAGATAACTGGTTTAGTGGCTGGTTAATAATCGCTAATACATTGCTAGCGGCGTTTTGCAAAATCGCTTAATTGGTTATTGAATTTTCAAGACCGACGAAGACAAAAAAATCAAGATTCCCATAACTACAAGCTAACGATAGTGGGAACGAAGTTGAGTTGGTAAATTTAATTGAAATGAGTGAATTTCAACCGCAGCAAGGACAGAGTATCAGTCAATCCCAGGCGTTGGCTCAGGCGATACAGCGTGCCAAGCAGGTAAGAAGAAGAACACGCGAAAACGAGGGAGCATTTTATGTACATATGTATTTCTGTACACACGTTTGTGTGTGGCTGCCTTTCGCTTCCAGATAGCGGCTAAGATCCAACCCAGCCAGCAGGCAGGCGGTCCAGGAGGACCTGGAGCAGGACCATCACCACCATCTGGTGGGGGAGGGCCGGGACCCGGTGCGGGCAACAACTTCAAGAGGCACAACGACGACGGCGACAGCGGACCAGAGTGCAAACGCTCCTTTGGCAGTCCGGACTACGGCCACAACAATAATTCGAACATGAGCAGCAGCAGTGGTGGCGGTGGAGGTGGTGGGGGAGGGGGATCCGGTCAGGGCGGGGCAAATATTACGCAAGCCATTGCCCAGGCAGCTGCAGTGGCCGCTCGCCTGGCGGCATCGGCCGGAACAACGTGCGAGGAGCAAATCCGCATACCCGAATCCATAGCCAATGCCTTTATGGGACGTGGCAGCAACGACACCATCACCCATATCCAGGCCGAGTCGGGGGCCAAGGTACAGCTGATGCCGGAACAGGAGCGAGTCATTACGTTGCGCGGCCAGCGGGACACTGTGTCGAAGGGTCGCGACATGATCCAGCAGATGGCCAGCCGCGGTGGTGGCGGAACCGTGGAGGTACTTCTCACCATCAACATGCCGCCTCCGGGCCCCAGTGGCTATTCGCCCTACCAAGAAATCATGATACCCGGTGCCAAGGTGGGCCTGGTCATTGGCAAGGGTGGCGACACAATCAAACAGCTGCAGGAGAAGACGGGAGCCAAGATGATTATCATCCAAGACGGACCCAATCAGGAGGTCATCAAACCTCTGCGCATTTCCGGCGATCCGCAGAAGATCGAGCATGCCAAGCAGATGGTCTTGGATCTCATCGCACAGAAGGACGCTCTAGCTCAGCAGCAGGGTGGACGCGGGGGTGGTGGTGGAGGAGGTAGCGGTGGTGGTGGAGGGCCCGGCCTCGGCTACAACAACTTCAATAATGGCAATGGCGGCGAGAGCGTAGAGGTCTTTGTGCCCAAGATTGCCGTCGGCGTCGTCATTGGCAAGGGAGGTGACATGATCCGAAAGATTCAAACTGAATGCGGCTGCAAGCTGCAGTTCATTCAGGGAAAAAACGATGAGATGGGCGATAGACGCTGTGTCATCCAGGGCACCCGCCAACAGGTCGAGGACGCCAAGCGGACCATCGATGGACTGATTGAAAACGTGATGGTAAGTAGCACTAGAGACCAGACACTAATCGAACATTGGGTTCACTGACCTTTTGCCATTTCACTCGACAGCAACGAAATGGCCTCAACCGCAACGGCAACGGAGGTGGCTCCCAAAGTGGGGGCGAAGGCAACTCCAATTACGGATATGGCTACGGCGTGAATCATGCCCAGGGCGGTCGTGAGGAGATCACTTTCATGGTGCCGGCATCCAAATGCGGTGTAGGTTTAGAACGAACCTAATTCTGGGCCTCTTTCACCTCCTAACCTAAATGTTTCTATTGCAGATTGTGATTGGACGTGGGGGTGAGACGATCAAGCTGATCAATCAGCAATCCGGAGCCCATACTGAAATGGATCGCAATGCCAGCAATCCGCCCAACGAAAAGCTGTTCAAGTCCAAGGGCACCACCGACCAGGTGGAGTCGGCACGTCAAATGATTTCAGAGAAGATCAACATGGAGCTGACTGTCATTGCCCGCAAGCCCATCGGTGGTGGTGGCGGCGGCGGTGGTGGAGGAGGCGGAGGTGGTGGAAACGGCTCAGGAGGTGGACCCAGCAATTCCCATCATGGTCAGCAGCAGGGCGGCTATGGTGGACCCAATCCAATGCAAGGCGGTGATCCAAATGCCGCCGCTGCAGCAGCGTACCAGCAGCAGCAACAACCCTGGGGTCCCTATGGACAGCAGGGATGGGATCCAGCGGCCCAGCAACAGCAACAAATGGCAATGACTGCCAATCAGGGCGGTGGTCCTGGTGGAGCCGGTGCAAACGCTGGCCAGGACTACTCGGCCCAGTGGATCGAGTACTATAAGTAAGAATTTGCAGCCCGTCTCATCCATACACATCGGTCTAAATAATCAATCAATTCCCAGGCAAATGGGCTGCCATCGCGAGGCTGAGTTGATCGAACAACAGATGAAGGCCAAGCAAGGAGGCGGTGCACCTGGGCCCGGGCAGCAGGTGCCGCAGCAGCCACAACAGCAGCAACAGCAAGTGCCGCAGCAAGCACAGCAGCAGGCATCCGGCGGCAACAGCGCTGACTACAGCGCACAGTGGGCGGAATACTACCGCAGTGTGGGCAAGCACGAGGAGGCAGAGGCAATCGAGAAGACATTGAAGAACAAGGTGAGTGGGAAGAAACAATCCGGTTGTGGAAACAATCTCTAAATTCTCGTTTTGGGATACTTTCGATGGTTTGCAGCAATCACAGAACGGTGGACCTGCTGTTGGCCAAAGCAATGCGCCCAATCCCAGCCAAGGCGGCCCCAATCCCGGCCAACAGCAGCAGCCCAATCCAGCGGCGGCAGCAGCAGCCGCTGCTGCAGCAGCCGGGGGCTATGCCCAAGGTATGACTCCTAGCCAATATGCACAATATTCACAGTATTACGCTGCTGCGGCTGCGGGTCAGCCACAAGCACCACCGCAGCCTGGCGGTGGTCCGCCCGCTGGTTATCCCGGTGGATATCCGGGTGGCGGCTATGGCGGCTACCCGGGTGCGCCGGGACAACAGCAGCAACAGCAACAGAAGCCGCATAAAAATGACAAGCATTGATAACGTTTTGGGATGTGATGTGGCGAGGCGAAAGAACTGGGAATGGAAGTCAGAGGTGGGAGCTGTAGCTGGAGTGGAAATTACTGCACTAAAGGGTGTGGCAGGTGCCTTGAATTGGGTGAGTGACAACTGTAATCCCAGTAGTTGATAGACGAAACATTTATTCCGTGTTCAGCTGAAAAGCTGCCCTTAAATGATTGCTTTACGTACATATATTTGCTTTACCTTTCTGCTTTAATTGCCTGCTTCATTTTAGTGATCAGACCTATCCTCAACTTTTTATGTATACGTACGACTAGTACAATTTATGCCTACACTATGTGATATCCTAACCAAATCTCGTTTACCATGCGTACAACTCTTTGCAGTGATCTATTGTTCTACTATGTCCTATGTCTTTTATCCCCCACAAGCTAGCAAAACAAAAACAAAACATAAGAGTAAAAGTTTTAACCGCAACAACAGAGAGTGAAGGGATGCGACGAGATGAGCAGAGAAGAGCAGAGCAGTGAAGCGAGGGGAGACCGGATAAGATCATCAATCAAACAAAAATCATTCAGCTTGTGGCGTCGCACTTTGCATAATTTGTAAATTAATATATTAACACTGTCTATTATCTGATATTCCCTATGATTTCTCCATTAGTACATAAGTAATCCACCCTGAAAACCGAACCCTACTTTTATATTTGTATTTATATATAAACCTAACTGAAAGAAAAGATATTGCCTCTGCTGTCCATGTTCAATAGCACTGAGCCACACAACAAACACACACAGTAGAACCAAGCCAAACCAAGCCAATACGTTATTGGTGACATCTATCTATTCTGCATATACATATATATATCTGGAACATAATTTCTTTCCTCGTCAAGCGAAATGAAATGTGCGAGCGACAGTGGAGAGTGTTGAGGGAGCGTTTTTAATACAATCGAAAGACAACATATTTGAGAATTCTCAAATTTCAATAATAACTGAAATATATAGAATTATATTAATATGCATCCATACTTACGATACTTACATATATTGATTAGTACTATATATCGAATGTAGCTCATAAATGATGACCGTTTTTGATACATGAACATATATCTCTCGTACTTAGCCTTAGTGTTACATATTACAAAAACCCGTTCTAAGCAATACCTATACATACTACACATATATCCAATCATATAAACGATGTTCGATATCTGGTGATCTGGTAAGACTTTCAATTTCTAAAATGTACACTGTATAAGATTTCTGTAATGTGGCTGAGGGATTCTGAAAGTCCAGTGGAGTTGAGTGGAGTTAAGTGGAGTGATTCTTGTGCATCTATTGAAACCGAATTGATCTGATAATAACAATACACATACTCGTACAATATATAACTTTCACCTTTCAGTTTGTGGAGAAGATATACATACTACATACTTAATAGCCTTACGATCAACCCAACCCAGATTTCAATACAATTAGACTTGATTTGGTACTCTATTTTTCTGTACTATATATAGGATATCTTAACTGGTGAAATTATTTTCAATATTTTCTTTAAACAACAACAACAAAAACAACTCATTTCCCAAGGTACAAGGAATAATATCACACCATATATTTCAATATTTACATATATTATCATATGCCACCCTATATTATATATACATATAGATATGCCAACATATATGTACTTTCAGAAGGGGCCATTCTTCAAGCCAGTTCATAACAGAAATCCAAAAGCAAAACTCCCGAACCTTCACACTCTCTCTCTTATAGAACATGAACAGATACGAAATATTAAATTGTAAAAGTGTCAAGCTTGGTAAGATCGTGTGTTCTTGTTACTGTCTATATAAAACATATTGATATACAAAACTTACATATACATATATATGCAAATCTAACAATGATAAAACTTATCCATATGAACGAACGTTGGTCTACCATAATATTTAAACATTACTTTGAATAATCTAAACTAAGTTTTACGTCTCCCCAATACACATATACCATCTGAATGTTGCAACAGCAGATGAACCAACAATTTGTAAACGTTGGCCGGCAGGGCAGTCTCAGAGCTGAATGCTGATCTGCCCGCAGCCGACGAGACAATGAATAAACTTTTAATATAATACCATATATAATATATATATATACATATATCCCACATATATAAATTTATTCTAAGCATTTAGCACTTATACTCGTATAGTGCTCTATGCCCCATTGCGTTTCTATTGACTTTAATGTTTGTTATTTTTTACTATTTGCCTATTGCCATAATTGAAAATCGTTTCTCGAGCGTATTTTCAGAGGCGCTGTTTGTGGTCTCTTGGCGTTGGAGGATATCTGGGGGAACAGGCTCAGGACAGACTTTAACTTTTCCTAGTCGATTGATTGATTGATTGCCACGATCGGGGTATGCCTTGATATACATACATATATTGGAAAACGATTTTTACAATTATGGATACATACCTACAATTGCCTTATCGAAATGCACTTTTTATAATATTGATATTTGATTATGATGATGATATATATACATAGACATCTATTTTTGTGTGTAAACTTTACATATATATATATATTTCTATATATTTTCATAGCAACTGCGACGATATCCGATATACCAAACAGTGCAGTGCAGTGCTCCCTACCCAGAGTAGACCTCAGTCGATCATGAACACAAACAGATACTAGTATGATTCGGTACTGACTATATATATTATGTATATCGTTTCAAGGTATCATTTGTTTGCTATATATTCGGATTACATTGCCTCCAAAGCCCATCTATATCTACATATATATATATCTATATTGATTCATTTTTATACTATAATATTGTCTAACAACTCCTCTCAGTTTGGCACAGCTCTAGGATTAGGAAGCGATCGAATAGTATCGATAAAAGGCATCTCTCAAAATTTGTGATATATATTAAATTCTGATAGTTAAGATTGGCCTAGCCCTGTTCTATGTGAGATCGGGAAGTCGTTTGTCCTCTTATAGTTTCAGCAACGGTGTCATTTGCTTTGATGCCCCTCCTGTCCGATCTCCTGCAGAGAGGTAAGTATGGTCCATCTATCCGTAGACGTCCATTTTAAAACCCACTTACGTTGAGCATTTTTTTGGATCCAATGTCAAGCCGTTTATTTTGCAATCAAATGATATTTTTGAAATTGATATATGTATATATATATTTCTTTATATTTGATTTAAATTACGTGCTTTGATCTATTTGCAGGGCCAATTGAGAATAAAAAAGTCCATTTCTCCCTTTCTATTACTCATATTAACATATGCATATAGATATATTAAATCGTATCGTATTCTTTTTACCACAAATTGGTACATCTATATATATATAATTTTTTTTTTGTATGTTTTTTTTTAATAACATTTTTTGATATATCCATATCTTTCGATAACACATATATAACTGAATCATGAAATACTATCTGCAATTTACAGCCCTGTCTGCGTGATCTTCGTGTATTCACCTGGTCAGAGTCTGATCGATATTAGCCTAATTTTCAACTTGCAATATAGACCGTAAATCGTATATACCCAATTAAATGTCATCAATATTGAAAACTATTCCAATTTACTCAAATAAATTTCACCATCTAAAAAACACGAAACGATATCAAATTTTTTAATGGAATTCATGTATGTAGGTTTGCCAGGGGAAACATAACTTACCGTAAATGCATACCCCATCGCCTCCCAACATTAGTTATATCACACCACATTTTCTTTTACTTAACTTCTCGCATTTTATTACTGATATATATGTACATACATATATCATTTCTTGTTCATCTCATCCATTAAGCATTTCGCAACGAAACATTTAAAGTTAGAACAACAGAATATGTATATGCATATATGAGCTTAGTGCCTGCTCGATCCATCCATCCATCCATCCATTTCAACTGGATTCGTCAGCCATACAGTTACATCCTCCTTTTGCGACTAGGCGTATTGTAAACTCTTAAACTACACGACATGCATACATACATACATAGTACAGTGCGTATCAGTATAATAGATTGGGCAATTCAACATACATCGATTCCTTTTTTTTGTGTGTTTATTTTGGATTTTCTTTCTGCTATTTATTTGCGAGTTTACTAGAAGAAAACATACATTGAGATGCTGATGTTATAGATATATATATATATATTTTGAATTTGTTCTTTACGTTTTCTCTCGACAATAATTAAACTTGTTTGCTTGATATCCATTTGTGTTGTGTACTGCCTTTTTGTTTTAAAATTAACATACATCTACTCCGCCTTGTTTACATTTATAAATATTTATAATATTTAACTCTCTCATTCATTTATTTGATGTACTCATCCGTGTGTGAGCGTGTTCCCATTTGCGTTTTGTTGCCGAGAAACCTATGTATCTCTTCCTACCTTCCTTTGAGTGCTCAACTACTAAGGGTGAAACACTTGATCTGAATAGGATTTTGAGTGTGCGGGGTATGGGGGTACTGTCCAAACAAGTGACCGAAACTTCCGCTGGGATCGTCAATAATGTATCATTCAAATCACTCGCTCCTCTGCCGTCTGTGTGCTTTTGCGTCTTAAAACTAAATTTACTCGCCCAAAGTTATATTTTTTACATTTCCAAAATGTTTTGCAATAATTAAAATTTTAAGTCTTCTTCCATTTACTTGTAAGTGGCTTAATTCCTTCATTCGTTATTATTTTTTTGTACTGCTGCCAGTGTGTGAATTTTGGTTATTTATTTTGACTTCTTCTTTCGCTTTACTTTCTTCTTTTTTGTTTGTTTATTATCTTGCCTTAATTTAGAATACATAATTTTTTGTTTTGAATGTCAATCAAAATAGCTACATTTAGTACGTTTTTAAACTGATTTTTTTATACAAATTTCTCCTTTTTCTTTTGCATAATTTACACACATTTTGCAGAGCTGTCAAGATAACATTTAGCCATTAAAGAAATTAAATGAAAGTTAATGCGTGGGAGCGTCTCTTTCTGGGACAAATTAGAAGTTATATATACACATGAATATATATAAGAGTGGACAGGCGACGACGACATTATGCGAGTGCCTCTGTCGTAGAGTTTAAGATTAACTTCAGATAGCTGTACGAGCACAAATCATCATCATATACTTATAGGAGAACTAGAGTTACTTTTCTTGAACTACGCCGAACGTTGGATGGTGTTGAAACAGCTCTCAAAGGGTGGCAAAGGTTACTTTTCTGCCGCTGTTTGTTTTATTTTGCTTTGTTTGTTTACAGGACCTGGCCCTTCCTCCGGCTTGAAGATGGCCCCCGTCTTCGTTTTATGTCGCAATTAACTGTCGAATAGGGAATGTGATTATACCGAATAACTGATCACTGATGGATGGCTTACCGCTTTTACTGTGGCCTTAATGAAGTCTTTCTTGTC